AATTTTCATGGTAATATAGATGTAAAGATATCTATAAATAGTCTCTTTTTTCTTTCTTTTTTCATTCTGTCCACCCCACAAAAAAAAAAAAACAATAATATAAACAGTTAAAAAGAAAGAAAAATAATCTTTTTTTAGATTCTAAATTGTTTATAATCTTCAGTTTATATATTTCCATGCTTTTTGGGGTTTAAGTGTTTCTCTGTTCTCCATCCCAAATTCCATAAATATTTATTTTATCAATTCATTTAAAAATAAAATATACTGACTAATTGTGGTTGGCTTCTGCTCAAAAATTGTGAGTGAATTAATTTTATAGATAAGAACCATTCATATAGCAGAAATAAGTTCACTTCAATTAAAACTTCATCCTCATCTCCTATATACAGTTGAATTGCATACAATTTTTATTTGTGTGTCTCTCTCTGTCATATATATATATAATCCCTAAGTACACATTTATAAATATACCATTAGTCCATGCATTGAATACTGCTGCCATATGAATTTAAGTATGCTATTAGATTGGAAACTAGTTCTCACCATTTTACATCAGTTCCATTTTAATAGTTTCTTTTCTCATACTTCTCGCCTGTTGAACTCCCTTCCATTTTCTTCCCTGCTACCTACAATCTTCAAAAATTTAAATGCAACATCAATCACCATCTTTTGTCTTCCTGAACCCTGTTCATTTATTGTCCTTTTTATCACTCCTCTTCACTAAAATCTTTTCCTACTCTTTCACTAACCACCCTGTGTCCTAGTGGCATTATCGCCTTGCTTGGGATGAAATTATATATGGAACAGTCAATTATCTGATGTGCTGTATCACTCAGCTTCTGAGAAGTGTCTGGTTAGCAGTCAAAGTTTCTGTTTATAAACAACAAATCATTGATGATCTTTTCTGAACAATCATATATGTCTGCTCATGAAATCTATTTCATAATATGTTGTCAATGTTTACGCTAAGGAATATTTTGTGAGCAGATATGATTGTTCAAAGAAGATCATTGAAGATTTGTTGTTTTTGTTTGTGTGTGTTTAATAAATGTGATAATATATAGTTTTATGTTTATGGGTTAAAGTGCTCAATATCAGGAATAGACCATATATAAATATAAAAGTGGACATTGAAGTCAACACCTAGAGGCAACAGTCTTTCATCCTAAATACAATCATCAGGCCCTATATATATATGTGTGTGTATTTATTTTTTTTTAATCATTTCACCCCAGACAAGACAATAAAACCACTAAGACACAAAGGGTTACTGAGTGTGAGAGAATAAGAAAAAAATCGTTATTAAGTATTTATTTCTATTTTCACACTCAATAACTAGACTCACAATCCCTATTCCCCTAATGATTTTGCAACTTTTAGTCAACTAGCTGTACCCGTGAAAATATTGGTTGTCCTATTTGACTTTTCTGATAAATCATAAATCAATGACTGAATAAGCTTTTTGTGAGTTCCAAAACCATAAAATATCCCTTGACATTCCTCTATTGCATTGTTAAATATTTGAGCTTAACAACTTTAACAAAATATTGTAATAACAATCATAAGTATGAATGCAAGTCATTATTTAAAAATGTAAGAGGGTACAAATGAAGATATTTCAAGGTTTTTCGTTTCACTGAAGCAGCTTTTAAACACTAGTGTTAATGTCTCCACTATTTTCTCTTTATTATGTATGCTTTCTTTTTCTTATTAAAACCATACAGTGACTGATATGTCTTTTTGTCTTTCCTTGCAATCAAAACAAAATACTCCATTATTTATGTGATAATGGCATGGCATAATGCTAGCTCTCTACTAGAGGAACAAACATAATTATAATATGCTATAATTATATATACACACATGCAAGAGATGCTGAAAAGTGAGAAGGCCAACAAAGATTTTCCTCCTGAAATTTTGATTGTGCATTTTGTTAGATTTTGGGAAGTGAGTAAGACAGAAGTTTTTAACACATTCATGTGTGTTTGTAGCTCTTTAAATCTTAATCACACAGTTATACAAGGAAATGAACTGAGTTTTAAGCAAATGTTTACATAACTGCATACACTTGAATAATATATTTTTCTTGTATTTGTGTGTCGGAGTGGCAGTCTGTTTGTGTTAGCATATCTTTGGATTTGTCTTTGTTGCATTTGTAGATTGTTGTGATGTGGGGAGATTCCTGTTGTTTGGTAATTTTATGTTGCTTTTGCTTACCCCTTAAGCAAAGGAAGATTTTTTCACCAGTTCAAGATGAATTTAGATTATTACCACACACAAAAGACAATGGTTAAACATAAGAAAAAATGAATTCCTTTAAATAATATGTGAAAATAACCATTCTTCAATTGATGAAGGTCACAAGACCTGAAATATGTGTAGTAAAAAATATTATAACCAAAAAACATTTGCAGCTTCTCTTTAATATATATATATATATATATATATATATATATATATATATATATATATTTCAATGTTTTCTGTTTTTATGTTATTTTTAAAGATACAAATATTTAAGTAAATGCTCTGTTTATAATAAACAGTATTAACTACATTTACTGGCCTGAATGTCTGAGAAATTTCATAGAAAATATGTGCTCTCTAACAGAAATTGAACCTGTATGCTTCAAAACTTCATATCTGCTCAAGGCATATCTGAACGTAAACAAATGACATCATATATTATGAAATGAACTGAGTCCAACAATTATTTCAATGTATTTTCTATAAAAATAACGTATAAACAGAAAATATATTGAATAATTGTCCATTTCATAATATATGATGTCATTTGTTTACATTAAGATACGCCTCAGGAGATATGATCGTTCGAGAACAATCATGGGAAATTTTTTGTTTAAAAACAGTAATTTGACTGGCAGGCTATATGATGTTACCATGTTCGATTCTTGTCAGAAGACACATATTTTCTATGAAATTTCCTGAACATTCAGGCTGGTAAATGTAGTTAATACTGTTTACTATAAACAGAGCATTTACTTGAATATTTGTATCTTTAAAAATAATGCATAAGCAGAAAATATATTGAAACAATTCTCAGACTTAGTCCATTTCATTATATATATATATATAATGTGGATATATGTATCCTTAAACTTGCATAGACATGCATATACATACTCACTTGTTTATCACACTCTAATTAATGTCACAAGAAAATATGTTGACTTAAAATAATGTGACCTGAAGATAATAAAAGTCAAATTAAGTCCTTTGTTAACAGCTTTTGGATGTATTATTTGGCAATTAATTATACTAGAAAAAAAAAGACAAACAAAAAAAAAACAGGGGACCATAAAATGAGAAACCAGTTTCTACCAAAGCTGACAAATGTTTAGACTTCTGCAGGTTTAGATCCAGGATTTTGTGCAGAGTAAATCCAAATGGGGGTTGGGGATTGATTTTTGACCCAGTTAGCAAATAGTTTAGGGTGGGTGTCTTCTGTGAGTGTAGACATTTTTTTCATTTGTATTTCAGTTATAGCATTTTTTTCCATAAGAATGAACACAAGTACTCTTACAGGTAAAGGAAAGTGAGAAGAAAGGACTAAACTGTAAGAAAGAATACAGAGTTGTCAATAAAAAGACAAATTAAAGATACCAATATTAAGCAAGTGCAAAAATTAAAATATCTAGGAAATGTTTTAACAGAGGATGCAAAATGCAATACGAAAATTTAAACCATGCATTAGGATGGCAAAAGATGCTTTCAGAAAATTAAGCAAAATATTTGGAAACAAAGAAGTGTACTGAACTGTTATGTAATATCAGTCATCCTATATGGCAGTGAATGCTGGACAATCTCCTCACAGATGAAGAAGAGACTCGAAGCATTAGAAATGTGGTTCTACAGAAAGATGCTAAAAATACCATGGACTGAACTAAAGAAAATGGAAACAAAAAGGACACTCATACATAAAATCAGAAAGAGACAATTGAAGTTTTGGGGGCATGTAATTAGGAAAGAGGGTTTGGAAAATTTATATACTTACAGGGCATATAGAAGGCATTTCTTTGTCTCATTTCCTTTTCTTTCGTTCTCTCTTTTGTTATCCCCCATATATATCTCATTTCTTGTTATTCCCTATCTGTCTCTCTCTTTCTCATTAACCCCTATTTCTCTCTCATTTTTTCTCTCTCTCTCTCACTGTTGTTTCCCCCCCTTTCTCTCTCTCTTTCTCTCTCTTGTTTTCTCTTTCTCTCTCTTGTTTTCTCTCTCTTGTTTTCTCTCTCTCTCTCACTGTTGTTTCCCCCCTCTCTCTCTCTTTCTCTCTTGTTTTCTCTCTTTTTTCTCTCTCTTGTTTTCTCTCTCTTGTTTTCTCTCTCTTGTTTTCTCTCTCTTGTTTTCTCTCTCTTGTTTTCTCTCTCGTTTTCTCTCTCTTTCTCTCTCTTGTTTTCTCTCTCTTTCTCTCTCTTGTTTTCTCTTTCTCTTTCTCTCTCTTGTTTTCTCTTTCTCTTTCTCTCTCTTGTTTTCTCTTTCTCTTTCTCTCTCTCTCTTGTTTTCTCTTTCTCTTTCTCTCTCTCTCTTGTTTTCTCTTTCTCTTTCTCTCTCTCTCTTGTTTTCTCTTTCTCTTTCTCTCTCTCTCTTGTTTTCTCTTTCTCTTTCTCTCTCTCTCTTGTTTTCTCTTTCTCTTTCTCTCTCTCTCTTGTTTTCTCTTTCTCTTTCTCTCTCTCTCTTGTTTTCTCTTTCTGTTTTCTCTCTCTTGTTTTCTCTTTCTCTTCTCTCTCTCTTGTTTTTCTCTTTCTCTTTCTCTCTCTCTCTTGTTTTTCTCTTTTTTTCTCTCTCTCTCTTGTTTTCTCTTTCTCTTTCTCTCTCTCTCTTTTTTCTCTTTCTCTTTCTGTTTTTTCATTCTCCCCCTCTCTCTCTGGTTTTTCTCTCTCTCTCTCTCTCTCTCTCTCTCTCATTTCTCCTCTATCTCTTTTTCTTAAGTGTTCACATAATATACAATGTTGAAAAAATGCTTATCCATCTATCTTGTAATAATTTTTAAAAGTACAATTTTTAGTTTTAATCTGACTTAAAATGTTTAGAAATGTTATTAAAAATAATATGGCTTCAATGACAGATGTTTAAAAAGTTAAACTTGAAGAAAATTGCACATTTGTTGATGTTTTAAAGATGAAAACAATTTTCCATTGCATTAAATCTTAGCAAGAAAGTATAAGTTAGAGTCAATATTTAAGAAACCAGCTGTGAAGATCAAATTCACTAACAATTAGAAGCGTGTGAGGTTAGTTATTTTCTAATTTTCTGAACTGAAATCAGTATAACATTTAGTTGACAATGATGAATTAATCTATTTGCTTATATATTTATTTATTTATACTTTTATTTATTTTTTTATCACAAACTTTTAGGTAGTATCTATGGGAGTGAGGCATCCTTTGAAGGAGTGCTGATCAACAAAATTGTATTGAATAAGAATACAGAAGATCAACTGGTAAGTAAAAATAGATTTTTTTTTTTTTTTTAATTATATTTATTTAAAATGTTACCAAATAAAAAGGAAGAAAATTTCCTACCACAATTTCTCTCATGATTTATTTTTGATTCTTTGGTTCATTTACTTTTACATTTGACACAATTCTTGATGTGTAACACGGCTTGATATGATAACATTATCTATTACTTGTAAAGTCATAAATATAGAGCATTGACTTGATTGCTAAATTGCTACTAGTAATAAAAATGACTTGCTAAATTTTGAGTTGCTGAATAACTTTTTTTTTTTGTGTGATGTGTAAGTTTTGGGGTGTTTTTTTATTTTACATGATAAAATTATAGATTAATTAGTTGGTAAAATCAAGTATTGACTAAAGCTTAAAATGAAAACATTGTTATAACTATTAGATTGTTACATAAATTTCTTTGTTTTTGTTTTTTTATAATTTGAATACTTATTATTTCTTAATAGTCATGAATCATTCAGCAGTGTATACCTCTTCATTGTTTATGTCTTCCTGCCAATGATCCACTAATTGTTCCATGTTTTGACAATAGAAATCAATAGGTTTTGACTAAAAAAAACCCCACCAAGCCATGTTTTAAGCTCCACATCATTGTTGAATGAAACACCCCTCAAATTTTTAGAAAGTAACCAAAAAAGGTAGTAGTCTGAAGGGACTAAATTAGAAAAATATGGGGGTGTGTCAGAACTTTCCATTGTATGTTTGGTTATATTAACAACATTGCCATATTGAATAATCATACTGTATCACTGGTCAGGTCTGTTCAGCTGAATTACCTCTCCTGAGCCTGTCCATTTGTTCAACATATACCTTAGCATATCTCTCTAAATTTATGAGATAAGGTATTGTAACTCTTTACATTGTTTGGACTGTTGTCCTCATCTTTATTGTCATATTCATAAGGTTTTGACTGTTGTACGCTCAGGCCTCAACAATACCTCAACTTCAACTCCCTCCACCTATACAGTGTAAAGAAAGGGATTGTCTGCCGTTTACAACATTGAGCAAAAGTAATCTGGTGACCCAGAGTCATATTAACAAGAGATGATCAGTATAAGCAGTACCCTACAACAACTACCCTGGGTACATGGTAGCAGTCCTGACAAACTGGGATAGAAGGTTACAAGAGGATAACAACACTTAGGGTAGACAGACTGAAGCTGTTTTCTATGTGAAGGGAGTATTGGAGAAAATACAAAAGATCTGTGGTCCATATAACATCAGGATGACCTTCAAAAGTGGTTTGACACTTCACAGGCACCTGTTCTGAGTAAGACCCCTTCCTCATAGAAGAGAACATGACTAAGAACTGTGTGTATGCCATTCCGTTCAGTGATGGTAAGAAATATATGAGTGAAACCGGCCAACACCATAAGGTAAGACTGCAAGAACTTCGTAAAGTCATAACACTAGGGAAAATAGAAAAATCAGGCATAGCTGACCACATATGGAGGGAAAAGTGAGATCCCTTGTGGGATGAGGTTGAAATAATAGCCAGAACATCACTGGAAGGAATCAGCACATATGCTAGGCCACAAAAATCTCCCAAGCCAGCCAAGCATAGAAATGAATATAATGTGGGAACCAGTAATACAGAATGTTAGAGAAAACGATAATAAAAACAAAATTGCAATATGAGCTCTGGTAAAAAATGTGATGAGACATTAAGTTTATAAGACCCCAAAATTCATAAACTGATATCCTCAAGTACACATGGCCCAGTGGATAAAAATGTTTGTTGGATCCAGTGACTTGACCCAAAGAGTTGTAAGTTCAATACCTGGTTACTGTGGTGGTGAACAAAAATAACTGAGACATCCAGAAGAGGCATGGCATTTTGGACAAAATAAAAGGTTCAGTTTGAGATTCCAGTCACCTGAAGAAGGTTGGAGTGTACAATGGCTGAAACCTGAATATGATAACAGTCCGAACAATGTAAATAATACACCTTAGCATTGATCATTTGGTTGTTTTGAAGCATTTCATCTCCCTACACTTTTGGTTTGAAGATAGCATTCAATCATGAAACAATCGCCACTCAGTTGACCTTAGTATCCACTTTTATATTTACATATACTCTATCCCTGGTATTGAATATTTTTACTCATAAATATAGCATACCTTAAAACTATATTTTTTTTTTATCATGCATAAACAACAACAACCAGGAATGAGTCCAGGGATAACAATTTAAAAACTGTAGGTATGAGTATCTTGCTACTTACGATCTTCCAATGATTTTTTCGGTTAGCATTCCTGGATGCATTCCAATTTGTTATTGTTATAGCTCTCTTTAGTTTTGTTTCCCATTTCAGGTTTCTTGATGTTTGTTTAGTGAGGTGTCTGTTTCTTCCTATTTTTTTTTTATTTTTTTAGCAAGCTTCATATGGTTAGTTTCCCCTCGCCTATTGCTTAATTTATTCTGATATATAAAAAGCATTCCACCCTAATCAAGGTGATAAAGACACAAGGGTTTATTGACAGTGAAATAAACTGGAAAAATATTGCTGGGGAGAAAGGACAATAAAAAGAACAGGATTTAGGAAGACAGAAGATAATGAGTGATGCTTAATTTAAATTTTTGAAGATCAGAGTTGACAGGAAAGCAAGAAGTTTGAGGAGTGTTCTACAGGTGAGAAGTGCAAGAGACAAAACTATTAATATATATATATATATATATATATATATATATATATATATATATTTTCTTTTTACTCAAGCTAAAAAACAGTTCAGTACTCTTTGTATGTGTGTCATGCTTATTGATCCATCTTCATATATATGGATATGAGAAATAGTTGTCATCAAAATTCAACAGTGGAATAGAAAAAAATATTAAAAATATGTTTATTGAATTTTTATACAAATATTCACTTCCACATATGTTTTCTGTTCTTTGATCTTGATAATCAATAGTGTTTTCAGTTTTTTCTTTTCTTTTTTTTTTTTGTCCTGGCACAAGTTAGGTTGATGTTTTTTTTTTTTTTTTTTTTTTTTTTTTTTCTCAGGTGAAGCATTGTTAAACTTATTTGTTTTGGGTTTTTTTTTCTAGTATTTCTTTTAATTTCAGTTACTTTTCATTGTCACTTTCAGATTAATTTTTTTTTTTTTTTTTCATAATATTTATCAAAGTTAAGAAAAAGTATCAGGAGAGATTTTAACTTTGACTTCTCTTTAGAAAGCATTATCTTAATGTGACAGCTGTCTTATCAATCAGGCCATACAAACCTCCAATTGTATTCATGCAGCTAGTCTTTATTTTTCCTCACCATCTAATAACTTTTCTGTTAGCAAACAGATGTTCATTTTATATGCATATATTGCACACCAGAACACTTCCTCAGTGATGACTATTCTGGGGGTCATAGAAAGTTTCTGGGCCTCATAGAAAGTTTCTGGGCCTCAATGACATCAGATTTTCTCTCCCATGAGCCAGTTGAGAACAATCATTTCTCAGTTAACATTCTGGAGTTCTTGCAAAAATTGTAACAATATTTGTGCCTACTTAAATATTTTGTCAAAAACCAGAGTTCATATATCTGAACTTAACAAGTTAACCATGTTAAACATTTTTTTCAAAATTCATCAATATCTTGTGGTAGGCATTTGCATGTTTTAAAGACATATTTTTCATCACTGGATATATTCTTCTTTATGTGCCATGTCCCCTCAGGATGTTGGCAATCATGGCTCTCCACAACTTCCTGTCCTTTATTGGGACTCTTAATAAATTTTGTCTTTTTGTTATTTCCCTTAAACCCTGTTCTGCCTTCCATTTATTCAAGCTAAGTGTGTTATGTGTTGTTTTCCTCGGTTTTTGCTTTCAATCTGTCCTGTGAGTATCAGATTTTCTAAGCTCTCTTTCCTCATTATGTGCTCTAGAAATTTCAACTCCCTCTTCATGATGTTAAGTATGTTTCCTTTTTACTTCCATTTTCATTGTTGCTTACACAATCAGTTCATGGCACCCTCATCATCCTTCTGCAGGACCACATTTTTGTTGCTTCAAGTCTCTTCCTTATCTTTGAGGAGATTGTCAAGTACTCATGACCGTAGAGGAGGACAGATATCATGTAACAGTTTCATACTCTTTTCCTTGTTTCTATGAAAGTTTTTCTAATTTTTTAATACTCTACAAGAATAAAAAAAATCTTTGATCTCCTTCTCCATAAGACTTTCTACATTTTCGCCAAAATTTTATTTTATATAGATACATGCTCCTGTTATGGAGTTGTTTTATATAGATACATGCTCCTGTTATGGAGTTGTTTTGCTAACTATACCTTTCACACTGTGTTTGCCACTAACTACCAAGGCCATGTTCAACTTGCTAAAAAACACACTATATTTTATTAATAAATAAACTGTTTTATATTAAACCATGCAACTAAACCAAAATGGTTTATTGGTCACAGTAAATTAATGCTCACTACCAAAATATGAAGAGCTATTTAGTAAATATTAAGAACACAATAAAAACTATTATAAAATCATGACTAAACTGTTTA